CCCAACCACCCCACAAAAGTCCCGCCTTTTCCACAGACCACCCCATGCTCCCCTCCTTCGGCAGTGCGGGACAAAACTTGGTCTGCTTTGGGACCCCCGGAAAATCCACCACCACCACCACGGACGACTCTACAAAAGCCCCATCAATCATCCCAAAAAGACAAGTCGACACCACTTACGACTCCAGTCCCTGACACTAGCACAGCGCCGACGCTCAAACTCCTCCCCCCCACTGTTGTACACCACCACCTCATCCAAATCAGTGGGAGAGACTACTGGAATGCTGGGGAAAGACATGACAAAATTTGGGAAATCCCGGGGTATGTCCAAGGCTTTTAATTGATTGAGGAGAACCCTGACGAAGCGGCAGCTGCGCTTTGACTTTGTCTCCCACGCCGCTATCACTCGCTGCAGATTGATCAATATTGCTCGGCTTTGACTCCCATGCCCCGCCAATCCCTGTCCTGCTCCCCACGTCTCAAAGGGTCTCGACGCTGAAGGGGGGGGTAATGTCACAACCCGTCCCCTGGAACCCTGCACATCGTCCAGCAACCCCCCAATTCCCCAAAACCCCTGACACTCCGCCGAACTTCCGCCCATGCCCCGCACCTATTTCGGTTAGCCCCAATGCAACCCTGGCTAACTCCGACGGCCCCCTGGCCAACTTCAAAACCTTCCCCGCAGCCACTGACACTTACCCTGGATCTCCCAAACCCCGAGACCCACCCCCGCTGTTCCCGATCTTCACCACCCATCATCAACTCAACACCCTGGTTCCTCTGACCCATTCCGGAGTATCACAACAACCTCAGGGCGATCTGCATTCCCAAATGATCCCATCAACATATCAGTGCGGCCCAATCCTCGATCGCAATCGACACCCACCCACTCCGTCGAGCTCCGCCAAGCCCCGCCGCCGCAGCCAACATACCCCGAAGTTCTCCGGTAGTCAGTATATAAGTTGTCAAGTAGCTCTTTGTACTCTAGTCTTGATATTGCTTAACGTTACCTATGGTCTGATTGTTTCCTTCTCATGTTTCATGTTTTGTGTTTTGTGTCTTGTTTTCCTTACTCTCAGTCTCCCGGTCTTATCTCAGTCTCCCAGTCTTGTTGTGTCTCCATTTTGTTATCATTCTTGTTATCATTTCGTATCTCCACTCGAATCTACTCCTGTTCCATATCAACTCCATTCCATTTTGTCTGACGCTGTCTTGGTGACTCTGTCCGGCCATTGTGCCCAAGTCTTCATCAACCTTAACAACCTCACAAACTCCATGATTATGATTACAAACCCCAACACTCTTTCACCAGGTCCGAACCTCGCTCTTTGCTCAGTCCCAGACTCCATCAACTCCAATTGATCTCCCATCAAACCCCGGCTCTGCTCCCATTGATCACACAGCCGCCTACTCCTTTGCTTCTGCAAATCTCCCATACGGTCTTCTGCCTGAACCCCACCAAGCCCGTCCCATTTCCTTGCAATCCAACTTCTCCGGACCTCCCCGGATCTGTCCGGATCACATCCCACCAACTATCCACACAAGCCATCAGTGCCCGGAACGCTTTTGAGTGTTCGGTTGCCAGTGCAAGGGGATCACGCCCACCTAGTAAGGACTCGCCCAGTGCAGCTGAGCCCCCGAGGTCAGTGGAACCTGACAGGCAAGTCCTTACTAGGCAGACACAATGCCCTGTGCTTATAACCTAGCACTCTAGAGTTGGTGTGAACTACAGGAACTTGTGAGGGGAAGCTAGGAAAAGCAGTCTGAGCAAGTTTGAAGTTTGGAGTGGTCTGAGGATGTCTAAGACCAAGTATATTGAACATTGGGCTTGAGTGAGTATCAGAAACAAGTTTGTAGGTGCATATATGGACTGTGGGATAAGTGGAGGCTTTGCAAGTGATGGGAGCAGAGTTTGATGAGGGATCAATCAGAAATGATGGGTTCTGGGGCCAAGTGTAGAGCAAGGTCTGGGGTTGTTGTAAGAATATTAAAGGTTCATAGCATATGTGCAGAGTTCATAATAACATCAGAGATGAAAGGAACTTAGGAATAGAAAGGGAAACAGAGACAGTCAAGATGAGATGAAGGTGAGAAAAGAGATAGATTTGAGACTAAAAATAGAGAGGGAGACAAAACAGAGGGAAACATGAGACACAAGTAACCAAGTAAATGTAATACCAAGACTAAGGTAACAAATGCTACTCTACATCTTTATATACTAACTACTGGACCTTTTCCAGGGATTGGGGGCACAACAGCAGAGCTTGTTAGAGCTACACAGGGTTGATGAGTGTTGGCTCTGATTGGAGAGTGAGCCATAGTGATATTCTGATGGGAACACAGTCCATTCCATAGTCATTAGGAAACTCCAGAGGAGTTGTGTAGGTTATGGAGGTAGTTGAGTGATGTACATCTGTGCCAGGAGAAGTGTCAGAGAGGTGTGGGGGCCTCATAAGCAAAAGGGGGAGCTGAGGAGGCCCACAGAGAGTGTGTTGAGGTTTGCCAGGAAGTCATCAGGCTTTGCTGAGAAAAGCATTGGAGTTAGCTAGAGCAGGCACTATAGGTCAACAAAGATTGGAGTGAGTTGGGGGGAATGTTGGGGAGGGCTCTGGGGAGGCAGAGTGTTCTGGGGAAAGGTCCAGAAGTGCAGGAGTGGGTCATGACACATGGCCTGGTCACTTAGCATCTGATGGATCTCCTCCCAGGAGTGGTGATGGTCCTTGACCAGGAAAAGGTGGTCCTCTTCTAGGTCCCCCACCACCTCCACCTGATTCAGGCAGTCTATGATGAGGAGTCAAGAGTGGAATGGATGCAGAATCACCCCTAAATGATCCTCATCAGATATCTACTCCACTTATTGCTTAGTTGCCAGACTAACTTGAAGGGGCATTCCCTTTCTAGTCAGTTGGCTGATGATGCACATTGGGGCTACTCATAGTCCCAACATGCTCATCTGCCAGAGAAGAGTGAGAATCTTGCTCTTCCCTTTTTATGGCCTAGTACATTCTGGTGGAACATATTTCTTAGGCCATGCATCATAGTCAGTATTCCCCTGGAACACCACTCCTTAGTCATTAACATAGAATTGCCCAAAGTCCTTGAGATTGCTATTGTGGAATTGCTGCAATGCAATTCTGTCTTTCCAGGTCAACCCCCTATACATTGACTCAGCAGTTCTTCTATGCACTACAGGTTGCTCAATCATAATCACTGACCCAGCTTCTGTAGAAACTAAGTCAGGATCCACAATTGTGCCCATTGTAGTCCATCTCTGACAGTTTACTGCAGCCTGTTATGCTGCATGGTCATGCAGTATCTCTTGAGGCTGCTGTGGCACTTGTAATAGGGTCAATGCTTTCTTTACCAAAGATAGTGGGGGGAATTGAGCCCCACCTACAAACAGTGATGGCATTGCAGACAATGCCTGCAATTCCCATACCTTCTTCTGCTGGAGGTAGTCTGCTAACTCTTGCACTAAAAAATCATATAAAGTTTCATGATTTTTATAGGGTCAGTTTTGGAATGATTCCCTCACCTGACTGCTGGATTGCAATATGTTTAGCTACTCTCGCAGCTAAACATTAAAGTCTTTGGGACCTCAACCTAGTCTTGCCAGAATACCAGCACCTTTCTATGGAGGATGTCATCTGAGTTTCTTTCACCATCAGTATCCAAGGTGTCTCTGACATCCTCTGGAATCATCTTGATGAATGCTGAGGGACCTGCTATGCATAGACCTAGCATAGATCCTGCTTGCAAGCAAACAGGGCTGTGAGCCTTGTGAGGAGATTCTTCCTTACTCCTTAGTAGTATAATCGCCATTGAAAATTCACTCAGACCTCCTGCAGCCTTTGGAAAGGATTTCAGTCCTTCTACTTATGGCACAGTAGACACATGCAAGGGCATTTTTCCCTTGCTTGCTGCCCCTACTATACCCTTCATCTCTACTGTTGGGTGCATTCAAGCAGAGGGTACTTGAGTTCCCTCCATTGTGGAGCTCATCTGATCATCCAAGAATGGTTGAATGGGAGTAACTGCTGGCAGTCCTACTGGCATCACTCCACTCTCTCTCCCCATGCCATGGTGTGACATGGCAACATCCACTGATTCATGTGAAGCAGCTTGCTGTTCCATCAAATCCTGGTTTAGACCTAGGTCCAACCACCTGACCTCCCATAGTCACCACTCTGTCCATTATAAAAGGTCAACATTCAAATTTTAATGTTCTGATTGTAATTCATGGCAGTCTTCTCTTTTGGAAGTTTGGCTTCTCACTCCACAAACAAGAACACACTCATTTGATTTAAAAAAATGTCATGTTTCTGTTATGGTTTGCACAACTTACTGTTTACACCTTGTAAATCAAAACCAGTCAATCGGTCTAGTCTATGAAGTATGAAGTAAAGTGCTGCCTTATGTAATTATAAGATGAGTATTTAACGGTAGTGTCATGTGATGCTACCATATAATCATATAACTAGATTAATATTAACTGGGTAGGATACTAAAGGGTAACAGGCATTCTGTTACACAGCAGCAGCAGGAATGCAGAATATATAATAGAGCATGATAGTCTGAGGAGTGTGTCAGAGACTTATTAGAAGCATGTCACAGGTGGGTCACATGTTATGTGATGCCCATATTTATGCATGAATTGGATCTTACAGTTAGCAGTTGATTAGCAGCAAGCATTATCCAACAAAAGTCAAACATGCACTGCTGCCAACATCTCACTTACCATCACCCATAAATGTGCTCACCTCCTGACTGCAATCCCTTGCTCTTGGTGATGCTCACCTCTGGACTGGAACAAAAGTCAGTGAAAGTGTTGTAAAGACAACTGATAATCATACTTCTATTGTGGGCAGCAATTTGTAGTTGAGTAATTCTTGAAATGAAACTTCCAAAGGTCTGAAGGACTGTTGACACTGAATAAATGTACAAAAACAATTTACAAGAGATTGAGACCTATACACCATATGAGATTGATCAAAAAGAAATTGACCACCGCAGGGGTCGAACCTGCAATCTCCTGATTACAGCATATCGTAGTCAGACGCGATGCCATTTCGCCAGGCGGCCTTGACAAGTCACGAAAAAAAGGAGATTGTGGGATGTACACATGCAATATTGATTTCATTTTCCGCCGAACTCAGATTTCCGTCCTACATGTCCCATGCCTCGTCGTCGCTCAGCAAAAGCTCGCAGCAGCAGTGGAAAACCGCGACCAATACATCGTGCTGATGACAAAATCAAAAAATGGAACAAGGCTTCCGACATTCCACGGGAGGAAGAAGACCTCTGTATGTTTTACGAAAGTGATTCTACTGTGCTCTACTTAATTCGGTATAGTTCATGATTCAAGGGACAAAGTGCTCTTGGAAGGTGATAATGAGTGGCAACGGGATGATGACGATGATGAAGATGAAGTCTTTGCACTGAAGGGCATGGTCGATGAAGACGACGATGAGGATGTGGACATGGAATATGAGGAAGAAGCTGAAGACGCCGAGGCGGTTACTGAGACGAAGAAGGGAAGGGAAGGGAAGAAAAAGAAGAAAAAGAAAGGTAGCTCATCCGAAGAGGATTCGGAAACTGAGGAGGAAAGTTGGGGCAAGAGTAAAGCTGTCTGGTACTCTTCGAACGCGGCGCAGCTCGAATCTGACGATGAAGAGGGTAATGAACTGGAAGAACAGGAGGCGAAAAGAATACAGAGTAAGATGCAGGAGGAGATGCAGGATGGTGACTTCGGGCTGGAGGATACTGTGGACACTGAGGTCGTAGACAACACTGAGTGCGTGCCTACTATACTTCTTTCTGCGACGTGTGCTCAACAGCCTCACCTTTGAGCAGCGGTCTTGCAGAGTCGGTGCTCACAGTAACTCAACAGCTTCCCCAGGATAAAAAACTTTTAATCCGTCATCTGGAAAAAATCAGCCCGGAAACTTTGGCCTTGGCACGCGATTGGGAAAACGCTGTTGAAACTTTGGCAAGAACCCAAGGAAAGATCAAAAAGTAACTTACAATCATACATTCTTAACAGGATCTGACCCATATTGACCAATATCATAGAATACAGGCTGAGAATCCAGATGCATTGAGTCTCGGTATGCTGCACATCTACTACCGTAAGTCTTTTTTTCAGCAGTATCATCGCTTCATGAAACAAATCCTTTCCAGAGGCCTCCCTTACATACACCACGACACTCGCGTTCTATCTACATCTAGCAAGCTCGGAAAAGTATGCGCAACGCCCTGAACGCCTCAAGGCCCATCCTATCCTCCGTCGCCTTCTGACCTTGAAACAGTCTCTTGTCACTCTTGAAGATCTTGACTTTGCTGCCTCCGATTCCGAAGACGAGTCAGATGAGAATGATAAAGATGCAAGCATGACATCCCACGACATCATGCTAGATGGGAAGGCTCTTTGGAATGACGATGATGAGGATATGCGCTTGCAGGATGATGAACTTGAGCTATTGCTGAAGGATCAGAAAGAAGCTGCGCTACACGAACCGCCAAAAAAGAAACGCAAGACTTTGAAAGCTGCCGCGAAAGCTACCGATGTTTCCCCAGTTTTCGATCTTGTCGAGCCGGAGTACCTTCCTTTGAAGACATCTTCATCTCGCAGTCTCTCCGACTCTGCTATTACAGACGCCTTTGGCGAGGCCACTTCCCTTCAACACGTAGATGCCGCTGACAAGTCTGCTCGAAGGAAATCTCTACGCTTCCATACGTCGAAGATCGAGAGTGCCAGCGCTAGACGTAAAGGCGCCCGGAGCCAGGCCTTGGGAGGAGATGACGACATACCTTATCGTGAGCGGAAGAAAGAGAGGGATGCTCGTCTTTCCAGAGAGAATACTAAAAATAGAGGGCATGGCGGTGAAGATTTGGATGACACAGAATCCAAAATACGAACAGAGATGACAGGAAGAGATGATGACGAGGCCCTAGAAGACGCTGATGGTTATTACGAACTTGTCAAGAAGCAAGCAAAGACCAAAAAAGAGCACAAGAAAGCTGAGTACGAAGCGATGGTTGAAGCTGCTCGGTAGGATTCCCCTGCCTCTTTGTATCTCCTGTTTAACATGTCTCTTTCCAGTCCTAATTTCAGCGAGGATGCTACTGCTGGTCCACGGTCACTCACACGAGCAATATTGGCGAACAAAGGTCTCACTCCTCACCGTCCAAAAAGTGTTCGCAATCCACGGGTCAAGAAACGGCTCAGGTTTGAGAAGGCGAAGAAGAAGCTTTCTTCACAGAAAGCTGTCTACAAGGGCGGGCTCGCAGAGACTGGAAGATACGACGGAGAGAGATCTGGTATTTCGAAGGTTGTCAAAAGTACTCGTCTTGGATAACTCTTTCACGCTGGAATTTTGTCCTTACTTTGGCACCGCCGGACTACATAATAGAATTTTACCGTGCAACATGAGAAGCCCGGCCACTTTGCGGTCAACAAGTATCACACCTCTCAATAACATAGATAATGATTAAAGCGGTTCGACGATTCAAGATTCGTTCGTATCGAAATTGTTATTCACGACAAATGTTCAGAAATCAAGTTAGTTGAGATAACACAACAGCTAAAGTATCTTGCACTGAACGGGTATCTGAACCATCTCTGAATCACCACTTCGGCCTCCGCATGGCCTTCTTAGCCGCTAACGTATTCTTCCCTTTCGCGCCCCGCACGCTTTGAAGTTCTTCAAACTTCTTCTTTGCGTACCGCTTCGCCTCTGCATCATCCACCAACTCGTCCACCAGTGTCCGTTTGCGATTCGCACGACTAAGATTCTCCCCGCTGGCAGTCCCGAATGGCATACTTGACGGAAGTATTGTGCCAATCTTGTATCACAAATATGTCAGTGTGGTAAGTATGGATAGCAGGTCATGATACTAACCGCGAAATACTTCGGAAGGCCCTTGATTCCCTTTCCTTCGCCTTCATCTTTCCGATAAAATCGTTTTGGATCGAGCTGGTTCCGTAGACGAAGAGCTTCCACATCTCGGTACAACCGCGGGAGATCAGCCTCTGCTGGAGCAGGTAAATCGAACCAATCTGAACCGGCAGTCTTATTTTTTATCTGTAGTTGGCTCCGTTGATGTGTTTAGTGGGACGAAATTTGGTCACGTACTTCCTTCCTTTCTTTACGCGTCAGTGGCTTCCCGGACTTTGTAAGCTCTGGAGGTGGAACTGGTGGAGACGGTACGGCTTGCGATGATGAAGCTTTTTCCGCTGATTCAACACCCGGATCCCTCATTCTTAAATGACCATCGAATCGAGAGATGCCGAGCTCAAAATAGGATGGGGGTACATTTCCTGGGTCCAGCATGGGTAACGGTCTAAACGAAATTCACTCAATTTCATTCGACACTTTTTTCTGAGTAGAGGTGTATATTGAACGCACTTTTGCCCTGGATCCTCATCCAAGGCAATAACCTCTTCTGTAGCCGAAAAACTTGACAGCTTTTCCGTTGCAGCGGCAGCTGCATAATTTTGACGCGCCTTTTCCAGCAAGTTTTCAAGGTATTCGGGAGTTACTGAATCATCGCTGTCTGAATCAGAGTCCGAGTGCTCCGAACTACTACTATCTGACGGCTCTGAACTTTCAGATGTAGATGATTGAAGGTCCAAGGGTATTTCTGGAGACATCAGTCCATGCGAGTATAGCGTCTGAATTCGCATACCAACGGCCTTTTCCTTCCCTTTCCTGCTTGACGTCGTCGATAATAACATATTGGTAAATGGAAAGGGCAAAAGTTCTGAAATTTCAGTGATCGGTATCACGTGGTGACACTTCCTTCAGGCTGTCGCTGAACCTGATTCGGCCATGTTTCATCTTTCTCGCACCATACGAGTGTCACTACCCAAGACTCTTCGTTCGACACGTTCAATCTCCTCGCAAACTTGTTCAACGCCCGAAAAACCCGCTCCTCGAACTGCTTCTTTCGGCTTCAGGACTGTCCCAGAAGAATCTAAAGAAACCCTAGTCAAAGAAGTTTTTGACTCGGTCGCCTCAAATTATGATCTCATGAACGATGCCACGTCTTTTGGTGTGCACAGGTTATGGAAAGACTCTTATGTCTCTTCACTCAAGCCAGGACGAAAAGGCCCGTTGCGGTGTATAGACGTTGCGGGCGGTACAGGAGATATTGCTCTGCGTATATTGGACTATGCCCGGGAGAACTACGCGGATAGAGAGACGACCGTAACAATTGTGGACATCAATGCGCAGATGTTGAAGGAGGGCTATCGTCGTTTCAAGAAAACGATGTACCATAATAGTATGCTTTCGTCTCTATTCCTCACGTAACAACCCGCTCATGCATCCCGAAGCACCACAGATTTCTTTTCATGAAGCCAACGCACAGGCATTGCCTGCAGAAGTATTCCCGGACAATACATTTGATCTATATACTATCGCCTTTGGGATTCGTAATTGTACTTCGATACCTGATGTTCTAAAGGAAGCACATCGCGTTCTCAGACCTGGAGGGACATTTGCTTGTCTTGAGTTTAGTCGCGTGAACAACCCGCTTCTCAGCACGTATGTACAGACTCAATGCTGTTCCTTTCTGTTTTTTCTCACTATTGTTACAGACTCTATGACCATTATTCGTTCACAATGATACCGCTTCTAGGTACCATACTGGCTGGAGACAGAAGCTCATATCAGTACCTCGTTGAATCTATCCGCAAATTTCCACCACAACCCGAGTTTGCTCGGATGATACGAGATGCGGGCTTTACTACGGGAGAGGACGTTGATGGTGGGGCATGGGAAGACATGTGGGGAGGTATAGCATGCGTTCACAAGGGAGTAAAACTGTAGACTACAGAGCCAAAACAACTTTATAATAGATAGGTCGCCAAAGTTACTGTCGCGAACAAGGACTTTGCTACGCTTTTTGTTCTATTCTTGTGTGTCGGCCCATGGAGATTGTTTCCGATCACCAAATGTGGCACAAACCTCGCTGTTATATACGGTTTGCCTGCTGCTGCTGCGAGGTCAATACATACCCTTGCTCTGGCCATCACCAAAATGACTACTCCGCATCCCGTGCTTCCTCCAACAGCCGAT